TAATACATTTCTTTGTGACCAGCTAGAATTCAGAAAAGGACTAAGAAGAGAGAAAAAAAATGATAATGTAAAATACCACCACTTAGAGACAGCAACCATTAGCATTTTAGTAAACATCCTTCTAAAAGCTTCTACTCCTGCATGCACACACACGTGCATTCAATCTGTATTTATTGACTCCCCACTATGCTAGGTGCTGGGGAAGCTAGCAGTGAACAAGGTAGACCTTTCACTGAGAGGGTACAAAATACATAAAAAGTTATCAGGCAAGGACAAATGCTATTAAGAAAATAAATCACAGATATGTGATGGAGGGTGACTTTTTTCTTCTTTCTTCTCTATTTCTCATAACATTCAAAAGCTTACCTGAAGTCAAATGAATCAATTTTTTCCTTTAAGGTCTCTCTACCCCTAAAAAGGTGTTCTCCACCCACCCCAAGATGCAATAATAACAGTAATAATAATAGTAATAAATAACCCATATTTTCTTCCAGTATTTTTATTTAACACTTAACTACTATCACATAATAATTACTGTTTTCTAGTTATACAAGCATTATACAGTACATTTTTATTGTAAAAAATTAAACTCCATGGATAAAATAAAAGTCCTCTAGACGTCAGTCCCAGTCCCTTCCCAAAAGTCACTTGTTTAGGATAGTGTAATGTGTCTCTTTCTCAAGCTTCTGCTATTTATACACACATACACACATCTGTCATGTCAGTTGTCAGTCCCAGTCCCTTCCCAAAAGTCACTTGTTTAGGATAGTGCAATGTGTCTCTTTCTCAAGCTTCTGCTATTTATACACACATACACACATCTGTCATGTCAGTATACGCAGTCTATCTAACTCATTCTTTTTAACTGAATACTATAGTATTCAGTAATTTGGATGTATCAAAGTTTATTTAACCCCTAACCTGGTGGTTATTTAGGTGGATTCCAATTTTTCTCTTTCCAAACAACAATACAAAAAAAAAAAATCCTTGTCATGTCTCTTTGTGCACATATTCCAGTGTTTCCCTAGAATCAACACGAGAAGTTGAAATTCCTGAGTAGAAAGGTATGCCCATTTAAAATGTTAATAGATACTTTCGAATTGTCCCAACTTCTAAGGCTTTTATAATTTTTTTCTTTTTTATTTAAATCTTTGATTAATTTAGAATTTATTTTGGGATAGAGAACGAGGAGGGATTGACCTTATTTCTTCATATAAATGACTACCCAGTTGTACCAAAACCATTTATTGACTAATTCATCTTTTCACAATGGGCTTTAAAAGGTGCCCTTATCATATACTAAATTCCCAAGTATGCCAGGGTTCAGCTTTGGGTTATCTATTCTCTTTTACTGATATGTCTATTTCTGTGTTAGTGCCATATATTTTAGATACTTTAGCTCTATAACACATTTTAATATCTGGCAGGGAAATCCTTCCCTTATTACTATTCTTTGTTAGGCTTTTCTTGGTACTCTGTGCTTTTCTGGGAAAATGTGTAAATTATTTTTTAAAGGAGTAACATGTAGAAAGATTGTAATGTAAAGAAATACTAATTCCCCTATTTATGTTGTTTATTATCACCCCTCTTTTCTATTAGGTTGTCATATTTAAAAATTCACACAGAGAGACTAATTTTGTGATTTATGGGCTTGAAACTAAATATTAACTACAACAGACAGTGACTGAGGGGGTGTAAAGAAATGGGGGGAAAAGTCTTATGAGAGGGGAGTAACTATTGCGGGCAGTATCTCCAAGCAGAAAGAGACATTGACAGCAGCTAAGTGCTAAAGAGACAGTGGGAAGATTCCAGGCGAGAAATCCCATGAAACCCCGAACTGGATTGGGGCAGGGCATTTTAATCCAGAAACTAAGAGGTTAAATCTGAATACTACAAGAAAAAAAGTGGGGGCCAGTAGATTGCCTGCAAGTGCAACAGAGAGACCTGCCTTTAAAAACTTCATAGACCTATTAAACTAAGGTCAGAAGTCCTGAGATTGTGCCCTGCAGTTTGTCTGTCTTGCACCCAGTCTTTCATCATACTGAACTAAGTAATTTTTCTACCCCTCATCTATACTCTTATCCTGTGTCAAGGTGCTGAGAGGGAAGTTCATGATCTTAAATAAAGGTCTTGGAAGTGTTAATCCCTGCTGTCTTGAGGCCACTCACAGCAAATATTGTCTATGAATATATAAGGGTCAGGAGTACCACTTAAAGGGGGGTACATGAAGAAGATCAGGCCCCTATACCTGGCTTTCAGATATCTCTGGTCTTGGTGGCACAACTTGAAGGGCTGCTTTGGCAGCGTCTGCTGTAGAAATCTTCTGAAGGTGACCATCTGGATGCCCTAGGCAGGGTCCCAGTGGGTAGAGGCCATAGGCTGTCTTCTTGGATTCTACCAGATGCTCTGTTTGCTGGGCACCCTGACAGGCAGGCCAAACAGTTACCATCACACCTCTTCCCTCCTCCCCGTGATTTTTTTGCATTTCTCTTTTTCCAATAAGTAGCAAGGTATTTCAGGGACAGATGAACGTGGCTCTCAGGACAGAATGTCCTCTGCTCCAGGAAGGGGAGCAGGGAAGGGAGGAGTGCAGATGTGTATATGTTGTGACTGAACAAACCTTCATCAGTAAAAGTGCACGTGTGCTTTTGGTTATGTGTCAATGCACGTATCAGCATGTGTCATGCAGAAGGGTGGATCTCTGGTTAGCTGCCCACTTGCTTTCCTGCTCCCCTCCCCTCTCCACTGCCCCTGTGCTGGGAGAGTCACTCCAGCCTTTTGCGGAGGGGAAGTGCTGAGTCACGGCTCCCGCTGGGTTCCGTCTCCTACCCTCCATCTCCGTTCTTTCCTCAGCCGACCCCGCTGCCCTGCTGGGCTCTCTCTAGAACTCTAATCCTGTCCACCACCTCCTTACCAGCCTGGACTCACTTTCTCCAGGTTCACTCCGGGGCAGTAAAGAGAATGCACATTATTATTCTATCTCTGCACTTCTCCCCTTGCTTTCTCAGAAGACTGTTCTGGGCTCTTCTTACAACTGCCCTCCTCCCTGAAAAAATAAGACTCTGACCAAGTTTGACCCAGGAGGCTAATTCTTCCATCTATACACGTTGATCCTCCTCCAGTTCTACCCCGCCTAATCGGATTATGGCAGTATCTCATGTCTTGGGGCATGGCAAGGAAAGCGAGATTTAAAATGACACTCGCTGAGGCTTTTTTCTCATTTTAGGTCTGCGAGCTCCAGACCACAGGTTCCTGGAGAGAGAGAGGGTGTGTGTGTGGGGGGGGGGGGGGGGGGGGGGGGGGGGGGGGGGGGGGG